TTATAAAAGTCTAAATAAAACAAAAATATTGGTGGTAATTTTTGACTGTGCAACTTTACAAACGGCACCCCATACAAATCTGTTTCTGCACAGGATAAATTATTATTTCTTATCAGTCTTTCTGTTCAGAATCCTTTTCTACAGTGAATGGAATAAAACGCAAATATTACAATTTGAAAACAATCCTAAAAGCGGTGTGAGAGAGCAAAGAGAAAGATTTCAGGTCTGAAGGTGAACTTTATGAGTTTCTGCTGGAGGAGGAGGAAGAGGAGGAGGATGGGGAGGAGAACGAGGAGGAGGAGGAGGAGGAGGGGGCTGCGGTATAAAAGCTGGAGTCACTTCAGATCTGAAGTTGAGGAGCGTCGCGCGCGCAGCGGATTAAAAGGCTCTCCTCTTCCCGCCCTGGATGTGAGCGGGTCCAACATCTCATCATGAAGCCGGTCTGTCTCCGGATGCTTTTCGCGGGAGTTTGAGTTGCCGGGAGTCCAGAAGCCGCGGATGGAGTGAAGAAGATGAAGAAGAGGAGACTCGAGGCTTCCCGCGGGACATGGACACGCTGCAGTTCTGCAGAGGAGACGCGCGCGCGGAGGATCCGGGTCTCCTGTGAGCTCCATGAGGCGGGAGTCTGACGCGGGCAGGTGGAGGGATGGAGGCACCGAGCCCCCCCGCCAACATCTCCGGCAGCAATGAGACCCAGTCCAACCTGACCTCCGGGGCGCAGGAGCCGGACTCCGGTCTGGGCTTCCAGGTGGTCCTGGCCCTGACTCTGGCCCTCATCACCCTGGCCACCACCCTCTCCAACGCCTTCGTCATCGCCACCATCTACCAGTCCCGGAAGCTGCACACGCCGGCCAACTTCCTGATCGGGTCCCTGGCGCTGACGGACCTGCTGGTGTCGGTTCTGGTGATGCCCATCAGCGCGCTCTACACCGTGTGCCAGACCTGGACCCTGGGCCAGGTGCTGTGCGACATCTGGCTCAGCTCGGACATCACGTGCTGCACCGCCTCCATCCTCCACCTGTGCGTCATCGCGCTGGACAGGTACTGGGCCATCACGGACGCGGTGGAGTACTCCAAGAAGCGCACGCCGGCGCGCGCGGCGGGGATGGTGGCTACGGCCTGGGTGATCGCCATCTCCATCTCCCTGCCGCCCTTCTTCTGGCGCCAGGTGAAGGCGGAGGAGGTGACGAGCTGCAACGTCAACACGGACCACATCTTCTACACCATCTACTCCACCTTCGGAGCCTTCTACATCCCCACGCTGCTGCTGCTCGCGCTCTACGGCCGGATCTACGTGGAGGCGCGGAAGCGCATCCTGAAGCAGGCGCGCAACAAGCCCGGGAAGAGGCTGACCTCCGCGCGCCTCATCACCAACTCCCCCGGCTCCGTGGCCTCCACCACCTCTCTAAACTACGGCACGAACGACGCGTCGTCGTGCGGAGACCCCGCCTCCTCCTCCGCGTGCCCCAACGCCGGCCAGGTGAAGGTGACCGTGTCGGACGCGCTGCTGGAGAAGAAGCGCATCTCCGCGGCGCGCGAGAGGAGGGCCACCAAGACCCTCGGGATCATCCTGGGGGCCTACATCGTCTGCTGGCTGCCCTTCTTCATCTACACCCTGTTAGTGCCTCTGTGCGCCTCGTGCTTCCATCCGGGGCTCTTCGACATCTTCACGTGGCTGGGTTACCTGAACTCTCTGATCAACCCGATCATCTACACCATGAGCAACGAGGACTTCAAGCAGGCCTTCCACAAACTGCTGCTGAGGTCCAGCTGCTGCGGGCCCTGAGGACAGCCTGTCCACACACTGGCTCCCTTTCAAAGGACAGCTAATGAGCGTTAATATCTTACCTGCTGCATATAATGCCAGCAGCAGATAGCTGTAGCACTTCCTGCAAGAATATATCTCTACAGAGATAATATGAAGCTGGCAACAAAACAATTTATTTAGAAATGTTTAAAATTTAGGGGAAGATCTTTAAGTTTGTCTGCTCTGAACAAAACTAAGTTTCTCCAACTCAGAGCTATCTGCAGCAGGTAAGATATTCACTGTTCACAGCTTCTTTTTGTGGTTTCAAAAGAGAAGTTTTCACGTCATGGACTGAGCCGTGGAATTATTCCCTTTAACCTGAGGGAACGTGTCTGTGAGTGTAAGGGCTAGGAGGATGCCCCGCCCCCTAACACTTTCGTTGTCTTCGGAGAAAGCCCCGCCCCCTGATCTCTCAAGTCGTCCTCAGACTCTGTTGAAGTCTTGCGCCACCCTTTTTACCGGGTATTTGATCATTTTTGGTGGTTTTGAGGGATTTCCTAATTGGTTATTGTTTTTTTCCAGTTGTACCAGTTTTTGAGGGGTACCCTACCAATCGGTTATGTTTTTTTCCAGTTTTAGCTGCGTTTCAGGTTTTTCCATTCAATCGTTCATATTTTGTTCCGTTTTAGACTATTTTTAGGGTTTTGCTACCTATCGGTTATGTTTTTTTCCGATTTTAGCTGCTTTTGAAGGGTTTGTTACCGATTAGTTATTTATTTATTTTTATTTTTTCAGTTTTAGACCCCTCCTGTCCTCCTCAGACTGTGTGGAAGCCCCGCCCCCTGATCCCTCCTGTCCTCAGACTGTGTGGAAGCCCCGCCCCCTGATCCCTCCTGTCCTCCTCAGACT